TCTCAGCTCGCCCTGCTCCGGCACTCGGCGCCAGGGGTCCCGTCGGGGGTGTGGGGGGGGGAGTAGCTCGAGGCTGTGGTTCGCGGTTTGCGGGGCGCCGGGAGGATGGAGCAGACCCCGAGCGTTCACGCCGCTCCGTCGCACCGTATGCCACGATCGGCAAGCCGCACACCAGAGGTCACCCCTGCGCAGGGTGGGGCCATGTGTTGGCGTATAGCCGAGAGGAGGGGGGAGGGTTCAGGCCCAGATGTCTGACGCCCCGATGTCTGCTCCAAGTGGCTGCCCAGAGGGCCGGAGCCCTCACCGAGACCCGCTTCTCGACCCGAGCTCTCGTTGTGAGGGCCCCTTCAGGCCGACAAGCGGCCGACAATTGCGCCGTCCCGACTGCTCCACGGCGCGAGGAGGTCTGGGGAGCAGGGCGGGATGTCAGCATCGTTGCCTTCATCCCTGTTGCCACCAGGCGACGGTATCTCAGCCCTACCGGTCCTCCCTCCTAGATTGGTGGGCACACGCACCGCAAAACCCGAAGGAACAGGGGCATCTCCCCACCGAGGTGTGTCGGCTGCCCCAGGCCTTGCCAGAGAGGACAGTGGGGGGGGTCGGCAGAGAGAGGGGTGATGACCAGGGTGCATCTCTGACGGTGGACGACCCCTGATGATGATGATGATGGATGCACCGTTCTTGCTGAAGCTCCGGGGCTTCGTGACACGGGTATGTCTGGCCCCCTGGGACTCTGCAAACCCAGGAGTGGCCTCGCGTGCTAAGCGCTCTGGGCCAAGATGCTTACGGAAATGCCATTATACATGTGTGAAAATACATTGCACGAAATGTCGCAACACCCCTCTGGGTCTCTGCCATGCAGGAAAATTTCACGAAATCGTCGTAACGCTTCCTCTCTGCTGCTACGCAGTGAAAGAGAATGTTAAAGAGAATCTGCCGCCGTCCTACCCCAACCAACCTCCTATGATCGGACAAAAATCCTTTGGATTTTCACCGTAATCAGCGTTGAAGGACCGAAGCTTTGTCACAAGGTGGACATCACCCAGTCGCCACGAGAGCCGAATTGTAAAGTTGACACTGCTCTCCCATTTCTTGTTCAGGAGATGCAGCTCGCGATTCAATCGCGCATTGGACCATTGGTGGAAAAATGGAAGCACAAGGAAGACTACTCTCCCCTGGGGCCCATCCTCCCTGGGCACACGAAGGAGTTGAGAAGGCCGCTGCTGAATAGCATTCCGTATGGCATCGATGATGCGAGACGAAGTTCCACTCCGCCTAAGTTTGCTAATGAAAATGTTTGCTTGCTGTCTGGCGAGGAGGGGAGAGCTGCATAGCCTACCGTACCGCAACGCCATAGCCACAGGCCACGCGCGGTGCACTGAGGGAGGGTGGTGAGATTGCTCTGAAAGAGGAACCCATTGGCTCGTCACCTTCTCGTGCACACTGTGGCAAAAGCTGGTTGTGTTATCAGTTCTGGATTTCTTGAAAAGGTGCACATCAAGAAATGTTGCTTCATGATGGGATAGTCGCTCCAACTCGAGGGCGAAAGGTCCGGCACGCAGGCTGAGCATCGTGAAGAACCTGTCGCACTCCTGGTTCGGGCCGTCGAAGAAAGCGATAATGTCGTCTTTGAACCTGAAGTAGCATCGAAGCCCAACAGAACGGAAGAACGCAGCATCGTTGATCCACGGTTCCTCCGCAAGCTGAAAGAATGTGCTGTCAGATACTTCTGCACTGCAAATCATCCCCATGCCGCTGCCATGCAATACTTTCCAAAGGTGTTCTGGTATTCCTGGGAGCTCGACGTATTGGTGCCCAAGGATGAAATTCAACACCCTGGTGAACCTTCGCTGCTGCCCACCGTGGAAAAACTTGCTGGACTGCTCGCGAAGGACGCTGTGGGTTCCGCTCATGTAGTACTCTTTGATGTCTATCTTCATGATGGTAACGGCTTGGGAAAAGATTTCACGGGATAAGCGAGAGACGAATACCGAAGAGTCCTTCACCAAATGAGGCAACTGGTCTAGATGCCCCCGAAGCTCGCCGGCCAAGAACCGCATCGCAGGAGCGAGAATGCTGCGAGGCTGCATGGCGTGAAGCAGGCGGATGGTGCATTTTGTCTGGGGTTTGTGTGTCTTTGCTGTCGCCGCTACTTTGAAAGTTATGCCCCTCTTGCTACCTTTTCCACTTACAAGTGCCTTGAATAAGTGCGGGTCGAATTCGTTGTCCATGTCATTTGCTGCCTCTTTACACATTGACACGTACTGGTCGCACACGTCCTCCGTAAGAACGTCTGGATCCTCGTGAATTCTCTCGTACTTGTTTTGATTGCCCAAAGCCTAAATGTATGCAATTTGCAACCGCCCTTTGTGCATCAGTGCGAATCCACCGTCCTTGTCTGTGGGGAGGCACCCCCACAAGCCTCCACGAAGAGTTGTTAAAGCGGTGGACACAATGAGGGGCAACCGAGGGCTTGCGCCGCAACGACAACGAGATTTGATGCAAGCTTGCCACAGCTTTGAGCGCACGTCGGAGATGTACGTGTTGACAGGCTCGGGAACCTCATCACGAAAAGGCATCGTTGTCGGGCCGCGATCTATAATGTGCTGCCATGCCTGTCGAGACTGGTCGTTCCCAAAGTACTGTCGCCAAGCAACGTTGTTTAACAAATTCTGAATTCCCAAATTTACTGGTTGGATCGACGGTCTCCGCCGGTATCCAAAAATATGCTTACGATGATGACGCAATAGGTATTCTACTGCCCAATCGATCTGCCCCTTGTTGGGCACGGCGGTGACCTTGCGCAATGGGTCGAACAGATATATGCCTGGCCGGCCCAATCCACATTCCAGCACTCGGCCTATTTCCGTCTTGGTGAGGCCGCGAAGAAGGGATGTGAAATGATTCATGATGCACTTATTGTGAGAACAATTGGGAGGACAAGATGCGAGATGAGCGCCTGCTGCGTGCTCTTTGGCCCGCCGAGCGCTGGCCTTGATTCTCACCAACCTTTCCCATTTCCGCCGCGCCCTCGGCCCCTGGCCGACGGGCGCGATCTGTCGTAACGCTTGTTGGGGTTCTGTCCCTTCGAGCTGTCGCCACCTTTGCCGTACTTCCCAACCTTGCCACCCTTGCCTTTCGAGGTGGCTTTTCCCTTGGACTTGCCTTTGGACGTGTCCTTTCCTTTGCCTTTGCCCTTGCTGTCCTTGCCCTTGCCTTTCGGATCCGACGATCTGCCGCGGCCCCTGCCCCTGCCCCCGCTCTTGGCGAGGGACTGGCCGTTTTTTTGGCCCGCTGGCAGGAGCGTTGGCAGGGAGGTCAGCAAGGACCACGTCCTCAGAGAGGCCACCTTCGCACTACTGCTGGTACCACGACGCCGGAACGGTCAGCGACTTCTTGCGGGCCGCGTTGGCAGAACGTTTGGCCTTGTCGATCCTGGCGTCGATGACCATGTCGAGCAGCTCTGCCGGGGGCTTTTGACTCACAGTCTCAGCGATCTTCTTCTTCTTCTTCTTTGCGGCCTCTTTGTTTGCCGCGTCCATCTTTTTCTGCTTTCGATGGGCCGCTTGATCGACAACCTTCCTGTAGATGATCGCCAGACGCGGCTTGATGGTCTCAGGGTCCACTCGAATCTCGTCGTCCTCTGCCAGCCCCAAGAACGAGAAGGGCTACGTTCTTGCAAGCTCGACAGACATGCACTCCTGGTAGAACGCATCACGAGACGTCTTAAGTAGACGATCTTCACGCTGCCGCTGGAGTACTTCCAAATCCAATTTTTTCTGGTATGCCAAGGTCGCTCCGTAGATCTTGGATTTGGCGTCCCTGATTGACATATCAGATATATCAATGTGAAGCGATTCGTCCAAACTGGTGCGCATCGTGTCGAGAAATGGGCTTTCATACGAAAGTGTGAATGGACGAACGCCTGGAGGGAATGTACCTTGATCCAGACTGTTTCTTTGCTCTGTGTATGAATTCTGCCTATCTATCAGCTTCTGAAGGCACGTGGGGTTTGGAGGCACGCAGGAAGGGAAGGGCGCTCAAGTCCAAGACGCCTCGAGAGTTGGGCTTCGAGGGGCCCCTTCGTTGCCACGGCTGGACGCAGCTCGAAGGACTGGTGTGCTTAGACCTCTGGAGGGGGTGCGGGGACCGACTGTGAGCTGCCGTGGTCTCAGCTCGCCCTGCTCCGGCACTCGGCGCCAGGGGTCCCGTCGGGGGTGTGGGGGGGGGAGTAGCTCGAGGCTGTGGTTCGCGGTTTGCGGGGCGCCGGGAGGATGGAGCAGACCCCGAGCGTTCACGCCGCTCCGTCGCACCGTATGCCACGATCGGCAAGCCGCACACCAGAGGTCACCCCTGCGCAGGGTGGGGCCATGTGTTGGCGTATAGCCGAGAGGAGGGGGGAGGGTTCAGGCCCAGATGTCTGACGCCCCGATGTCTGCTCCAAGTGGCTGCCCAGAGGGCCGGAGCCCTCACCGAGACCCGCTTCTCAACCCGAGCTCTCGTTGTGAGGGCCCCTTCAGGCCGACAAGCGGCCGACAATTGCGCCGTCCCGACTGCTCCACGGCGCGAGGAGGTCTGGGGAGCAGGGCGGGATGTCAGCATCGTTGCCTTCATCCCTGTTGCCACCAGGCGACGGTATCTCAGCCCTACCGGTCCAAGGTCCTCCCTCCTAGATTGGTGGGCACACGCACCGCAAAACCCGAAGGAACAGGGGCATCTCCCCACCGAGGTGTGTCGGCTGCCCCAGGCCTTGCCAGAGAGGACAGTGGGGGGGGGGTCGGCAGAGAGAGGGGTGATGACCAGGGTGCATCTCTGACGGTGGACGACCCCCTCGTCTTCTTTCAGTACGTCTCCTGGCCCCCCCGCCTGGGCCGCGCACGTGCCTCTGGCCACCGTTGGCGAACCCCCCCCTTGGACGCCCCCGCCTCGCGCGCCCCCGAGGCACGGATCGGTGAGGCGACGCTCAGGGGGCGGCCGCAGCGGGGGCCCCGCGCCAGCAGGACGCTGGCCTGGCCAGCACCGTCTCCCTGTTCGAGCTCGACCCCGAGGCCCCGGTGCTCCTGGAGCGGCTCCGCCGGAGCATCGCGGCCGCGTCGAGCAGCTACGCGGAGGAGGCCAGGGATCCAGGGCGGGAGCCGAGGGAGGGGAGGCGGACCGAGGATCCAGGTCTTTCAGGGGCAGCGTCAAGGGGGACAGGTTCAGGGAGGTCGAGGGTCGGGATTGTCGGGCGCTTTGCTGTCGGCTCTCGGCAGTTTTCGGGCCTCGGGGCGCGTTCCAGCAGCTGCGCCTGGCTGGTTGGGCGCAGACGTCCCTTTGTGGGCTCCCCACAAGCGGCCGGCGGAAAGCCGAGTTATGGACCGAAAGCACCAGAGGGCGGGCAGCGCTAGCGAGCGCTGGGTACTGGCTCGGAGGGGGGGAGGGGCGCATCGACTCCCCCCCGCCCAGGAACGTGCGGGTGCACGATCAGGCCTGCTGTCGGCGGCGTATCGCCGATATCGATGTGGGTCCACCCTGAGGCGGCTTCCCTGTCACGGGCAGCCTTGCCGACCGCCCCCTTCCGCGACGACCCCGTCGCATCGCTCCACGATGTGACCTGCGAGGGCGAGGGGGTCGTCGCGGAAGGGGTTCGTCACCGAAGGTGTTGGTTAGGCCATCTCCGAGGGAAGCATCGAGGATCCAGTTTTTTGTTATGTGCGTCTGTTTTTGTTTGGCTTTTGGCCGGAGGAGGAAAGTGCCCTGACATGTCCGCACATTCAGCCACTGGTTCTGTCCCTGCGTGAGCAGGGTCCAGCACAAGGCCTGAGCGTGGCGAACACAGGTCCCAGCAAGAAAAAAATCAGACGATTCATCTGAATCGTCGCTCTCCCCCCGCTGCCCAACAGCTGGCACCACAGGAGCTCCATCCTCTTCGAGGGCGAGGCTCGTCCTGAACTGCGAGGCTGCACGGGCTCGCTGACAAGAACCTCAGCCGAAGCACGAACGGATTGCGACGACTGCATCTGGTCAGCGGGGAGAGCCGAAGAAAATCTGAGGGCCCCATCTGGGCCTTCAAGGCCAGCAAGGTCACACTCAATCGCAACAGTAACTTTCTTCGAGGTGGGGTGCATGCCTTTGCACAGCTGCTTACAGGCCCTCATCCCGAATCGACCAGGTGGGGGGTCGCAGCGCTTGTATAGTCCTCGAACATTGCTGTGCGAGGTATAATGTGTGCACCTCACACAAATGATCAATTCGGCGCCATCGCTGCACTCAAAACTCAGGCAACGATGCTGCAGCGCGGAAAGCTTCTGAACGCTGCACGGTCTCACTCCCCTGCACACACCAGCGAACGGCTCATCACCACTGGAGTGGGCCGCGGATCTGGAGACATCTATCGCAGCGCCATTCAGAGCCCGAGCCAAACCAAACGTGACCATCCTTTGGGGCAACAGGTTCGGCAGGCTGCGGAATGTACAACATATCTTTGGGCGCACTGAGGGGAGACCACAGGAGCAAGAGTTTGGCGGCTAATCTAATAGTAGCCTCAGCGTACTTCCAGCAGGGTCTCGTCTTTGGGATGGGCATCCAAAGCGGCCTTGGCTCCGACATCCGCCAGGTGGTTCCCCAGACGGAGGGCAAGCTCGGCCTCGGAAGCGTTTTCGTCCTGCAAGCTCTGGTGCGCCTTGACTTCTTGGACACCGAGGACACGACAAAAACGCTCAAGCCGATTGAGGAGCAAACCAGACACGCCAGCGTACATTCGCTTGAAGCAGGTCTGGGCTTCTCTGGGCAATTGGTGCATGAGCAGTGACCAGTTCGCTGGGACCCGACAAACACATGGTGGTTCCCCAGTACCCCGAAAACTCGCCAGCCTGGGGGATCTGGGGGAGCGGGGCACTAACGGGGTACCTCGTCGTACACAAGTGTTCGTCCTGGTCGTTGAAAACCACAAGGGCCCAGGAGGCCCTGTTTGATTCGCGAATGGGGTGACGGGAACAGGACCTATCAATCAAATGTTTGCCTTGTATGGCGAACGGATTGGAGGGTGAACTGCAGTTCCGGTCCACCTGCCAACCTCCCTCTTGGAGAGGGAGAGGGTGTTGGTCGCCAGGATGGGTCATGATGCCTCGAGTACAGTTTCAACCATTCCCGCTTTGCAGTGACAAAGTCCGTCACTCCGTCCACCAAGTCATCCCCAATCAGCTCCCTACGCTCGGTGTTGCAGGAAAGGCACCTCCAAATGCTGTGAAACAGAGTGTCTCTCTCGATACCGCGTCGTTCGCACATATTTGGAAATTGGTAGCCCTTCGAAACGGCATACGTGCGGGTCCAAGTCGCCCCACACACCCAGGCCCTGACGGTCCCCTTCTCCAGGGGGGTGAACTTCGAGCTGACCAGGCTGGACAAGACAACATCCACACAGCCGCGAGAAGAGACATCTATCTTGGCTCCAATATCCCATTCGAGTTGGCGACAAACAGCTTCTCGCAGCAACTGGCGGACCAACGCAGGCGCCAACGAAAGAAGGTGGAGTTCCACTCCACGATCGTCGATGAGCGTGGCGAAGTCGCGCATCTGCCAGCTGATCCGCTCGAGAGATTTCCTCATGGCTGAAACTGGTCCTGAAACAAGTCTCCAAGACGAAGACTCCTTCCCCCAGCCCCCTGAAGCTAAGGACGGAGGGGTGACATGAGAGGTGGAAATGCCCGAGCTCTTTGTGCCACCTACAAACGGGGGCCACCTGGGACATCCACGTCGGGTCTTCCTCGAGCCTGAGTAAAACAGAAAGAGACCGATCACCAGCCGACGGCTTGATCGTGCTGCCAAGAGATCCGAATTCGACGAGCCGCGGGTGTCCCGACCCACAGGTCGCCGCGGGAAGGGCCCCCATGAGTGCCGAATTGTTCGAGCCGTGCGCCCAGCCGTGCGACCGAGCTTCTTCACCCCCTGGGCACGCCGAGCAGCCATGACGAAACGGCCCTTGGCCTTGGCGCTTCGGCCGCGCACGCTGACTGGCTCCCCCGCCGTGTCGTCGACCCCCAGGTTGCACATTGTTCGTTTCTAAGTCTTCGAAAGTTCTTCGATTCAGGGGGGGCAAGATCCTTTCATTTCTAATTGTTCTATCCTGGGCCTCTTCCTGGCCACTAGGGGGCCAGGAACAGTTAGAAACGAGCACAATGAGAAACGAGCACGATTAGAAATGAACGACGTGTAGGGGCAGAAGCCACCAGTGGGCCAGTTAGGGCCGAACCGATGGCAGTCTGCACAGCACACCGCACCCTATGGCGGGAACACATTGGAGCCCCTTTGCCCTCGGCCAGCGCAGCTCCAATGCCCTCCGCGACGGCGCGGTGGAGCGCAGATGAGGCCGAGACCAGAGACGAAGCAGCCCCAGACTCAGATCCGATGGCATGTAACGCATTGTCGTCGGTATAATGGGCGTGTTCCATACGCATCGGCCATTCTATCTGGTCCAGGCTGCACAGAGCGCTGACACGGATAAGTGTTGCGGCGAAAGAACAGCCAGCCACGATCCCGAATTGGGCGTGCGCAGCCACCGTCAAAAAGTCTGGCGGCGCGATGCGACGGGCCGATTGGTAAGCAATGCAACACTTCCTAGCGAGAGCCAAAGGGAAACCGTGCTGCGCGCATCTGTCTAACATCGCGTGTAAGTCGATCGGCTCGTAGTACTTCGAACAATCCCACAACAAAGTTCAGGCGGTAAGACCTTGAGCGACCCCAACTTCATTGCGGACCGCCTGCCTCTAGACAGTGTCCGCAGCCCCAATCGAACGACCCGCAGCGAACCAGGGTCGATGGTTTCGAGCCTCCCACTCCAGGGCGTAGGGACAGCGGATCTCTCCCCAGGCCTTAATCAAGACCCCCGAATAGCTTTATAGGGCGCAGACCAGGGACCGACTTGGGAATGAGGCGCATGATGGCCACGCTGACGTGAGACGGAAGCACGGAGGACAATTCCAACATTTGCATCAGCACCGCCAGGCATTAAAGGTTGTGTTCAGAGAGCCAAGACAGGTGCCTAATATGGAAGCCGTCGGTCGAGACGGCCGAGGCGAGCTCATGTCTCCCACGCACGCCGCGGACGTCGTCGGGGGAGATGGGAGACGAAGCGGGCGCGGGCACGAAACGTTGCACAGGGGGAGGCGGCGTGGCGGCAGCTTCCCAAAGCGCGGGGAAACAAGTGGCTTCTCGCTCCAACAGATTGCGAGGGTTGCTAACAATCCTGCCGTCCGCCGCCAAACCCGTGAAGGGCACGAAGGATCTTGGTTCCTTGGGCACTGGGTGAGCCCGTCGGCCCCTTTGTCAAAACCATCCAGCACCCAAGATTTCCAAGAGGCCTGACTGGAGGCCCTAGCTTCCGAATTTCAAGCATCGAACATCTCCCTCACTTCGTCTGTTTAATGGAGGACGAGGAGGAGGAGGAGGAGGAGGAGGAGGAGGAGGAGGAGGAGGAGGAGGAGGAGGAGGAGAGGAGGGGACGGGGAGGGGCGGGGACGGGAGGAGGGAAGAAAGCAGAGGATGGCGGAGTGAGGGAACGGGGCGGAGGAGGCAGGCGTGGGAGGAGGGAAAAGAAGGGGGGCACAGGACAAGGAGGGAAGGGTGGGAGAGGGGAGAGGAGGACGGGGAGGAAAGGTAGACGAGGAGGAGCAGGAGGGAACTTTGTTGCCCCTCCCTTATCCCAGTTTCTCCTCCTCCTCCTCCCCTCCTTCCCTTCCTCCCCTCCCTCCTTCCCTTCCTCCCCCTTCCATTCTTCCTCCTCTCCTTCCTCCTCCCTCCCTCCTCCCCTTCACCCTCTCCTTCTTCCGTCTCCTCTTTCTCCCCCTCCCGTCTCCCAGTTTCTCCTTCTTCCTCCCCTCCCTCCCACTCCGCCCTCCTCCTCCTCCCCTTCCCCGCTTACGCTTCCAGGAGGAAGATTCACCTCTTCAAGGAAAGTTTGGATCTTCTTCTCCTCCTCCGTCCCATTGAGGGCTGAGGTGGCTGGGGGAGTCCCTGGTGGGAGCCTCGGGGTGGCGGGTCTTTCTCTCCTCTCCTCCCCCTCCTCGCTCCCACGCACGCTGTGCTTCGCAAGCCTTCCTGAACACGTCCTCGTCCCCCTTGCGCTTCCAGGAGGAACACGTACCTTGTCAACAGAAGTTTGGATATTCTTGTCTTCCTCCGTCTCGGCGTGTCGTTTGCGCGCGTGCGCTGCGCTGGTGTTGCATTCGTGCGTGCGCGCGCTGCACTTGTCAATGTGGGGACAGCGTGAAGGACGCACTCATTGAACGCTGGTCGCCTCCGCCTCCTCCCCTGCCCACCAGCACACAGCCAGCGCCTTCCGGAGGCTGAATTGGAGGCTTGTGATTCTTATGTGGACCGGCTGTTCGAGGTGATGGCCTTCGAGTGTTGCAGGCGGGGTGCCATTGCCCGTATTGTTTGCCCTCTTTGTTTTGCAGGTTTGGATATGACTTTCGTTTGCCGTCTTTGTGCACTGCCACTCTCGCCTCGGCTGGCCCCTAACCCTGGAGAGCACCGGCTTAGCTCGAGAGCGATCGCCATTATGTGTGCGCGATACGGATCCGGACGCATTCCATGAGTTGATGACCAAACGTTGGTGCAATGTTGGGTAGAAGGGAAAAGCTTCAGGTGGGGCCGCCGACCGCCAGCCGCCGCTGGCGCTGGAGAGCCAGCGACGACGACGACGACGACGAAGACAACGTCGACATTTCGCAGCGCCCATGTGAGTGCCAACTGATTTCCCCCCCTTAGAAATGAGTTGCCGTCCACCCGTGCACATGTCACACAATAGGATGTGGGACCGTGCCGTCCCCGATCAGTGTAATGTGTGCATGTGCTGAAGTGTCGTACATCGGACGTCGAGAAAGTCTCAGGCGAGAGTCCAAGCTCGAAAGGAGCGCCCCCCCGTCCAACTGTCTGATCCTTGTTCGACGAATGCGCGCGGGCGCGCGGGCCTAACGCGAGAGCCACATCCTGAAACATTTGTGTGCTCGATTCGTGTACCTGACGGAACGTCTAGTAAGAATGCGATCAAGGTTAAGTCGAGAGTTGCATGTCTAGACGCTTCGTGCAACCATATCAGTCCATCCAGACATGATGCCCAGACGAGTTACCTGGATCAGGAATGTGGAGTAGCATGTAGTGGAATGGGGTCCCGGGTAAGACGTCGTACCCCCAAGAGGGGGAGTATGGGCGAGCATACCGACGAGAAGCAGACGGAGGAGAAGGAGGAGGAGGACGAGGAGGAGGAGGAGGAGGAGGAGCAGGAGGAGGAGGAGGAGGAGGAGGAGGAGGAGGAGGAGGAGGGGGAGGGGGAGGAGGAGGAGGAGGAGGAGGAGGAGGAGGAGGAGGAGGAGGAGGAGGAGGAGGAGGAGAAGAAGAAGAAGAATAATAATAATAAGACTAAGAAGAAGAAGAAGAGGAGGAGGAGGAGGAGGAGGAGGAGGAGGGGGAGGGGGAGGGGGAGAAGGAGGATAAGGGGGATGAGGAGGAGAAGGAGGAGGAGCAGGGAGAGGGAAGGGGGATGGAGGAGGGGGAACGAGGAGGAACAGGCGGCAAGGAAGAGGAGGAGAACGGGGGAACAGGATGAGTAGGAGGAGGAGGAGGAGGAGGAGGAGGAGGAGGAGGGCGAGCAGAAAGGCCAGACGCCTCTTGGAGGCCTCTCGAAATCTTTTCGGATTTCGTCCGAGCGCTTCTTTGGGTTCTCTTGAGGCGTCTCGGTGGGGTGGCTCTTGAGGCGTATTGCATCCCACTGGAGGGCCTCTTGGGGGTTTCTTGGAGCCTCTTGCGGGCTTCCTGGGGGCGTCTTGGAGACCTCTTGGGGTCTCCTAGGCACCTCTTGGCGCCGTCTCGGGGCGCCCTTGGGGGCCCCGAGTGCCATTTGGGGGCCATCATGGAAGGGATCGATCAAAGGAACCTCTTGGGGGTCTCCCGGGGCCTCCGGGGCATCTCGTATGGCCGTTTTGGTGCACCTTTGGAAGTTTCGGGGGCCATTTTGGTGCCATCTCGGAAGAGGATCGTTCCCCCCCCTCTGGAGGCCAAAATGTAGCCAAATCTGAGTCATCGGAGGTTGGGAGGTGAGATCGCAGTGGAACGGAGACCCCCAACTGGGAAATCGTTTCGTTTCGTTCCTGTCGTGCGTGCGGGCGAGGCGAAGCTGCGTGGACGCGCGAGAGGAATGAACCCGCCGCTGCTGGGGCGAAGTCATGACAAATGTTGCTCCTCCGGCTTCCGTCTGTCCGCCTTCCGTCCGGCGTTGGCCCGCGGTGTCCCGTGGTGTCCCGTGAAGTCCCGTGGTGTCCCGTTGAGCCGCCGTTGCTAGGGAGAAGTCAAGACAAGTGTTGCTCCTCAGCCTTCCGTCCGTCCGCCTTCCGTCCGGCGGTGGCCCGCGGTGTCCCGTGGTGTCCCGTGGTGTCCCGTTGACCCGCCGTTGCTAGGGCGAAGTCAAGACAAGTGTTGCTCCTCCGCCTTCTGTCCGTCCGTTCGTCCGTCCGGCGGTGGCCTGCGGTGTCCCGTGGTGTCCCGCTGAGTGAGATCGATATTGAGATCGATATTGAGATCGATATTGAGATCGATGTGGTGCCGCGAGGTGTCCCGTGGTGTCCCAAAAAGTGAGATCGATAGTGAGATCGATAGTGAGTGAGATCGATATTGAGATCGATACTGAGATCGATGTGGTGCCTCGAGGTGTCCCGTGGTGTCCCAAAACGTGAGGTCGATAGTGAGATCGTTAGTTAGATCGACAGGTGTCCCGTGGTGTCCCGTGGTGTCCCGCTGAGTGAGATCGATACTGATATCGATACCGAGATCGAGATCGATGTTGTGTCCACAGGTGACCCATGGTGTCCCGTGGTGTCCCGTGGTGTCCCGTTGAGTGAGATCGATAGTGAGATCGATAGTGAGACCGACAGTGAGATCGCCAGGTATCCCGCGGTGTCCCGTGGTGTCCTGTGGTGGCCCGTGGTGTCCCGTGGTGCCCCGTTGAGTGAGATCGATAGTGCGATCGACTTTCTGAGATCGACAAGTGTCCCGTGGTGTCCCGTGGTGTCCCGTTGAGTGAGATCGATAGTGAGATCAATTGAGTCAGATGTTGGTTCCCTCCCTCTCCCCCCCTCCAACCGTCTTATCACCCGAAGGGTGGTCGTATAGGTGTCAACGTTTTTGGCTTCCTCGCCGAGGCTGTTTTGCACGCTTCAACCCCTGGCGACCCTCCCTGTCCAGACCCAGGGGGAGGGGGTAAGGGGAGGGTCAAGACGCCCTCCCCGCCCGCAAGCCGTCTCGCTCACTCCCACCCGCCCTCCCAACACATACGTAGCACCCGAGCATGGCCCGAGCCGCAGCATATGCAGCAGTCATCTTTGGATGGGCAGCTACTGGGGGCCAATTCGCCTCCGCCGCCGCCGCCTCCGCCGCCGCCGCCCGCCGCCCGCCGCCATCGCCGGCGCCGCGCGCGCCGCCGCCGCCGCTGTCCGCCGCCGCCGCCGCCACCGCGCCGCCCGCCGCCGCCGCCACCCCCGCTGCCAAATCGCCGCAGCCGCAGCCGCCGCCACCGCTGCCGCCGCCGCCGCCACCGCAGCCGCCGCCGCCGCCGCCGCCCCCGCCGCCGCCGCCGCCCCCGCCGCCGCCACCGCCGCAGCCGCCGCAGCCGCCGCCGCCGCCGCAAAGTGTACTCTGGAGTTTTTTTTTGTTGATAGGGATGGTGGGGGGAGGCCACATCGGGTTCGCTGCGCATGCTCAGAATTTGGAGGCAGAGTGTGTTTCGTATTGTTTTTTGCAAGGGATGGTGGGGGCAGAGTGTGTTTTAAATTATTTTGCAAGGGATGGCGGGGGGGAACCGCATGGACCTGGGTTGGCTCCCAGTCGCCTGGGGGAGGGGGTGTATCGGAGGTGAGGGGGTGAGATCAGAGTGGAACGGAGAGCCCCCCTACCCGGAAATCGATTTCGGTTTCGTGTTCGTGCGTGCCGTGCGTGCGGGCGAGGCGAAGCTGCGTGGGCGGGCGAGAGAAAGTCTCCTGTGGCTGAGGCGCGGCCGGACCAAATGTGTCTCTTCCGGGCGGCCGGTGGCGCGCGGTGTCCCGCCGGTGTCCCGCTGGTGTCCCGTCGGTGTCCCTGTGGCTGAGCAGCGGCCGGACCAAATGTACTTCTTCCGGGCGGTCGGTGGCGCGCGGTGTCCCGCCGGTGTCCCGTCGGTGTCCAGATAATGATGGTCCCCGATGATAATAATGATGGTGATGATGATGGTGATGATGATGATCTTGATGATGGCGACGATGATGATGATGATGATGATGATGATGATGATGATGATGATGATGATGATGTTGATGTTGTTGATGCTGATGATGATGACGTCGATTGTGAGATCGATTGTGAGATCGATAGTGAGATCGACAGTGAGACCGAATGTGAGACCGAATGTGAGACCGAATGTGAGATCGATTGTGAGATCGATCGTGAGATCGATAGCGAGATCGATAGTGAGACCGAATGTGAGACCGAATGTGAGATCGATTTTGAGATCGATATGTTGATGATGGTGATGATGTTGATGTTGATGATGATGATGATGATGATGATGATGACGTCGATTGTGAGATCGATTGTGAGATCGATAGTGAGATCGACAGTGAGACCGAATGTGAGACCGAATGTGAGATCGATGGTGAGATCGATTGTGAGATCGATAGTGAGATCGATAGCGAGATCGATAGTGATATCGATAGTGAGATCGAATGTGAGATCGATTGTGAGATCGATATGTTGATGATGGCGATGATGATGATGATGATGATGATGATGATGATGATGATGATGATGATGATGATGATGGATGATGATGATGATGATGATGATGATGATGATGATGATGATGATGATGATGATGATGATGATGATGATGACGTCGATTGTGAGATCGATTGTGAGATCGATAGTGAGATCGACAGTGAGACCGAATGTGAGACCGAATGTGAGATCGATGTGAGATCGATTGTGAGATCGATAGTGAGATCGATAGCGAGATCGATAGTGATATCGATAGTGAGATCGAATGTGAGATCGATTGTGAAATCGAAAGCGAGATCGATTGAGTGAGACGTTGGTTCCCCCTCCCCCCTCACCACCTTATCACCCGCAGGGTGGTCGTATAGGTACTTATAAGGAACAGTGATCAAGCTACCCACCCGCCCGCAAGCCGTCTAGCTCACTTCCACCCGCCCTCCCAACACATAAGCAACACCTGAGCCTGAGCATGTTCAGCGGTCGTCTTTGGATGGGCAGCTACTGGAAACCAAGCCGGCCCCAGGTGCGCGACGCTTGAGCGAGGTGCGGCACGCGTGCCAGGGGCGCCACGCGCGCCAGGCACCCCTGGGGCCCGAGCGCGCCAGGCACGCCTGGTGCGCCAGATGCGCCACGTGCTCCGAGCGCGCCAGGTGCGCCGCACACTCCAGCCGCGCCAGGTGCGCTTGCGCACGTGACAGCACACATCGGGAAACATGTCGGCCCCCGCCATCCTTGTTGAAAACCAATGCCCATCGTTGTGTCTGGTGGGCCTGCGCACAGCAGGCCACGCGCTACCAC